TCAGTTGTATGAGACAACATTTCCAGACTCTTTTTTTAGAAAAAGACCCAGCACACGGTGTCCACTAAGGCTTTCAATACCTTTAGAGATGAGTGGACACTGCAGGGGACACAGCGCTTTATTTAGCCCCTTCCCATTCTCCCCACCACCCCCTTACTTTCAACGCCTTGTAATGCCTGTAATGGGCTTTGCATATCATTACCCTGTGGCTACACGCATGTTTACTGGTGGCAGTTAATAGTTTAAAAACACAAGAAAAAAAGTGATTTCATCGTGGGAAAGCCATTTAGCTGTGTGAATAACACAGAATGGATCTGCAGAACCTCTGTCCTGAGCTTGGACTAGCCTACATATGCCACAAGTTCTGGCTTACATTGTGGTGTTCAACAATAAATAAATTTTCCTTTCTCATTGGGTTTCCTGAGTTATTACAATCCCAGTCTGGCTACTTAAGACTGCTAAACAACACTGGCACAGGTGAAGGCCTTTTCTCTCCTATTTCTCTCTCTGAAAGAAGCCTGGACACACACTGACCACCTGAAAGGTTCTGTTCTTCTGCCCATGTTGTAAGGTACCTTGTTGCTAACCAATAGCCCATTCTCTGTCCTCTCCTCCATTGTTTTCTAAAGCATTGAATATTTGTTGTGAGAATATAAACTAACTTCCACACAACCTGGTAATACACTAGAACTCAGAAATGAAACACAGACAGTGTCCTTCCCCTTCTTGAACTACACAATATGGAAACGTAAACTCAAACTTAGCGACATGTGACTCTGTCCACTTTAAAACTCAAGTTTTTAAATAAAACTGCAATGGCTTTAGATACACTCAAACATGGTCAATTATCTCCAAGACTAGTGTGACCATTTTGAGAGGTTAGAAATACCAGACAGACTCTTCCTTTGGTCTGCTAACTCTCATCTAAGTGCAAATGGTTTAGATAAAAACAAATTGCTGGAGAAACTCAGCAGGGCTGAATGCATCTGTGGAGAGAAAGCAGAGTTAATGTTTCAAGTCCAGTACTTCAGAAATGAACAAAGATCAACACAACACAGGAACAGCTAACATATTTTTCCCTTCCATACTAAAACTCTCTTCACTTACAGGATCTGTATCCCTCTATTACCTTCTTCGTGTATTTGTCCAGGTCCTTCTTGAATGTTCCTATTGTGTCTGCTTCCACCAACTCCTCTAGCAGCATATTTCAGACACTCACCATTCTTTGTGTGAAAAAAAGTGAAAGCAACCAGAAAAAGGTGGTACTTATGTTTATGACGAGGTGGTGGAGGGGGATGAGTGAGCAGCTAGATGGTGATGGAGCTCAGAGGGGAGAAAAAAGGGTTGCTAGACAAAGGGACTGTCAATAGTAAGCCAGGGAAGAAGAGAAGCCAGATAGATGATAATGAGGAATAGGAGTAGTTGAAAGTGGGTTGGCAGTGCAGAAAGCAACCCATTTTGTGACAGGACTTGGGGCTGTGGGGATAGATTAAATAGACAAGGAAGCAGATGTTTGTGCTCTGAAATTGTTAAACTCAAGGCTGAGCCCTGAAGGCTGTAAGACACTTAAGTGGAAGATGAAATGTTGTTTCTCAAGCTTGTGTTGAGCATCACCGGAGCACTGCAGCAGGCCTGAGACAGAAATGTTGGAAAGCATCCACTCTGTTTCTTTTGCCCAATATTGAAGAGACTACATTGTGAATAGCAAATACAGTAAACTAGACTGAAGTACTGACGTAGCTAGGAAATTGGTTGAGTGGCAGGGGTTGGAAAGTAGGGATAATAGGTCTTGAAAACATATGACCACTTCTTTAAGTTCCCATCCAAGTCACTCACCATCTCAACTTGGAAATATATTGCTGTTCCTTCAGTGTCTCTGGGTTAAAATCCTGGAATTCCCTCCTTAAGGGTATTATGGATCAATGTACAGCATATGGGCTGCAACAGTTCGTGAAGGCAGCTCACCACCACCTGCTCAAGGGCAACTAAGGACAGGCAGCAAATGCTGGCTAGCCAGCGATGCCAATGTCCCACAAGTGAATTAACAAAAAGCACTCAAATTGGCAGGATGTGACTGATGGTGACCTATAAAGGTCTATGTGAGGGCCTTAATTATTCACATTATTTATGAATGACTTGGATAATGACATAAAAAGTTACGTATCCAAACTTGCTGATCACACAAAGTTAGATTTCGTTGTACTCAGTGTAGATGATAGTCTATCAATATTCCTTTGTAATTTTATGCTAAGTGAATGGGCAAAACTGTGGCAAATGGAATTTAATGTAAGTAAGTGTTAACTTATCCATTGTGGACTGACAAAGGATAGATCAGGGTACTTACTAAATGGTATGAAGTTAAATACCGTGGATGTTCAAAGAGACTTGAGGGTTCCGGTGCATAGATCTTTTAAAATGGCATGAACAGATGCACAAAATAGTCAAGAAAGTGAATTGCATGCTGGCCTTGACACTGACAAGGCTGAATGTAGAAGTTATGCTGCCATTATGGAAATCCTTGGTTACACGCCACATGGAGTACTGTGAGCAGATCTGAGCACCACACCTTAGGGAAGATATATTGGATTACAATGTTGGTTTACAAGAATAATATCTGGACTTCAGGGGTTAAGTTATGAGGAGAGATTTTACAAATCAGGCCTATTTTCTCTAGAATTTAGAACGTTAAGGGGTGATCTGATCAACATCATCAATATATTAAGAGGAAAAGAAAAGGTAAATAAAGATAAATGATTTCCACTGGTTGGAGAATCTAGAACTAGGGGTCATGGTCTGAGGATTAGGGCCAAATCATTCAGAAGAGACATTAGGAAGCGCTTCTATACACAAAGGATGGTAGTTGTTTGGAACTCTCTTCCACAAACAGCAGTGGATGCTTGGTCAATTGTTAATTTTAAATCTGATACGGTAATTTTTTGTTAAGCAAAGGAATATGGAATTAGGCCACAGATCAGCCATGGCTGGCTCGGGGTATGTGTCCGAGAACAGGACAGAGCGGGGGCGTGTTCTGTAACCTGGTAGGTGCGGACTTGGTAGAAAAGGGGTATAACTTGAGTACTTTAAAGACACTTTTTATTCTCATTCCGGAGTTTTAAACTCTGTATTACAATGCTAGTCTTTTTTTTTCTACTATTTCAATTCTACGACAAGTATCTGTACTTAATTACCCTGTACCTAAGATGGCACCAACAGGTGACATTACAAATTTTTCACTGCGCTCATTTAAGTGCATGTGACAATAAAGGCTATTCTATTCTATGATCTCAGTGAATGGTGGAACAGGGTTAAGGGACTGAATGATCTACTGCTGTTCCCATGAATGAGGTGCAGGTAAATTGCCACTTTACCTGAAAGGTGTGTCTGGGGCCTTAGATAATGAAGGGTTAAACAGGCAAGTGTTGCACCTTCCATGATTGCATTGGAAGTTGCCATGGGGGTAACGGGAGTGGACCAGAGTGTCCCAGATTGAACAGTCCCTGCAGAATGCTGGCTAGGGAAAAGAGAGGATGGGACTATGCATCTGGAGCTGGTAAAAATGGCAGCTTATGATTCTTTGGGTATGGAGGCTGGTGGGCTGGAAAGTGAGAACTGGTCTGATAGGATCTTCACCGTCACTCCACTACTTGGAAAGACTTTAATGAAATCGACATGAATCAGTTGAGACAAATTACTGCAGAATCTGTACTGAAAACAACAAATGCTAGAGATCACAGTGGGTCAGACAGCATCCATGGAGAGAGAGGGCAAGGTAACGTTTCGAGTGTAGATGACTCTAAATCAGTAGGGTGTTACGAAGTTGTATAGAGTAATCGTGAATTGAAAGACAGGAAGCTAGAATTTGTTTGTAAAAATGATAGGTGGAAAAGGCGTGTGTGGCTCCTTTAAGAGGTAAAGTGCTTTTCTAAGCTTAGAGATTTATACAGAACATGTAAGTCGCTGAAGGGGGTACAGACAGTTCTGAAATTGAAACGTATCTATTGGCTGTGTGATTGGAAACTTTAGGCTGGTTTTGATGTTTTGGCAAATAGCTGGAATAAGCCAACTAATTTAAAACAAGCACTTAGCGATTGAAAGAAAATTGAATTTAAATCCGATGGTTTTGACAATCTCGGATCAATGCTATTGGAAAAAAAATTGATATTTCATCCAAGGTATATAAGAAAAGGAATTTTGAAAAAAAAACAAAATCAGTGTGAGCAAACTGCCATCTGAGAAATAAGCATTTAGCTCTCACAAGAAATCACTAAGCTCTCTAAGAAAGCACCATCTATCCATAAAAGGTACCACAGTATTTCCAACTAAGAGTCCTCACATCCCTGACAGCCGGATCAGCAGAAGAAAGACATTTACGACTTGAAAACAACCGAAGAAAGGTATTTAGACTTTGACATACTAAGTTTTAAATTATTTTCTTATTACTTGGGTTTATATAAGTGGGACTAGTGATTTTTGGAACAGCATACCAGTAGAATTTAGTTCAATTAGGGAATAGTTAGTAGTGAAGGGGGAATTGTTCAATTTGTTCACTGTTAGGGTTAAATAAATAAATTGTTACTTATAAAGCAAATATCAGGGATTTTCTTTCATTTAACCTCCCTTCTCTGTAAGTTTACTCCCTTCTAACAGGTTAGGCGAGGTGAGGCAAGCTTCTCGGAGTGTTTCCAGTTTAATTATTAGAAGGGAACCTCGACTCCTGCCTTAATGGATTACGGGCTTGTGTTTCGATTTTAATTAACAGAGGGGTTCGACCTCCGCTTCCTAACAAAGGGGTGACCATTTCAAATCGCTCAGCCTTTGTAATCCTCAAAATCATCACTGCATTTTTTTTCAACACAGATGCTGCCAGACCTGCTGAACTTTTCCAGCAACTTCTGTTTTTTTTTTGTTCCCGATTTACAACATCCGTAGTTCTTTCGTTTTTTTTAAATCGTCTTTGTCGACCGGAGTAAATGCCATCGCCTGGGAATTAGAATGGTCAGCATTTGGAAGTATAATGGAGCTGGACCGTTTGCTAATGTCACGAAGACATGACCCGCCGCTGCCAGAATCAGACTCCTTTTTTTGCCGGGCTGGCGGCGCTGCTAAGGAAGTGACGCACAAGTCGGAAGCGGCGTGAGTTTGGCGCGGTCTCCGGGCTGTGGTGGCGTCTGTTGGTTTGGAATCTTGCACCCTTTTAAACATTCGAAAGCGGTGGCCTTGAGCTCGAGCTGAACGGTTGCCGTTGCTGCTGCCGAGCCCCACCTACCATTGTCCACACATCATGCCCCCCAAGTCGCTGAGGAGAACGGCCGCTGGTGGCTCTGAGGAGAGCATCTCTCCGGCCAGGTAAGAACGGGGTAACAGGGCAGCAGCTGTTGCTCTCGTCGACTCAGCTCTCACCTCAGCCAGCCGCGGCCTGGGCAGTGGGAGGATGGAAGAGGTGTGGGGAATACTTGGGTGGTTACCCGCAAAGTGGCCCTCGAGAGCACCTAACCCCCGCCCCCACGCGACATTTTTCTGTCTCTCTTTTCGCTGCACTTGTCGTTGCCCAGTGGTTCAGTTTTGTGGCCCTTTACGTGGCTACTAGCCTTTTCCTTCATTGTGCAAAATCCCCGGGAACTTTTAAGTCGGATCGCAGCACCGCAGTAACTTGGTGCAGAACCCCACTACTGTCTCAGTGCTAATTCTGTGAGACCGAATCTGTGCTAAAAGTCCAATTTCTACTGG